ACTTTGACCCAAATCCTTACTTATTAAAAACTTAGAGTAATATCTGTCATCAGAGCACCTTGACATATTTATGTACATGTGTAAATGTAAGTTAGGTCTAGCTCTACTGAACATGCTGAACCCAAATAAATGTTTACAGACTTGACAACAGAATTACAAAAAGTATCATCATGAAGGTGTCTCAAAATTACTTGTAGCTTCTCCAGCAGTCTCGTTTTTTTTTTTTTTTTTTTGGGGGGGGGGGGTGGGGGGGAGGCTGGCTTTGAACTCACAATCTTCCTCTCTCAGCTCAACTCGCTGGGATTATAGGTGTGTGCCATGGCACCCAGCTATTTGTATTGGAAATATAGTATTTTTCATTTTACAGATAGTATTTTTTATCTTTGAACTTAGCTGGAATGTTTGTATTCTCCATTTCTCTGCTTATCAGGCTTATGTTTTTCTTCATGTCACTGAGTATATTTATGATTTTTATAATACCTGTTTTAAGGGCCTTCTCTTCAAAACCCTTCTCTGTCATTTCTGAGACTATTACATTGATTATTTTTTTCTCTCTGTCATACTTTCCCTTTTCTTTGCATTCCTATTAGGTTTTTGTTTGGTGGTTTGTACCAGGGATTAACCCATGGAGGGGCACTTAACCACTAAGACACATCATCAGCCTTTTTTAATATTTTCTTTAGAGACAGGATCTCAGTTTCTTAGGGCCTCGCTAAATTGCTGAGGCTGGCTTTGTATTTGCAATCCTCCTGCCTCTGCCTCCTGAGCCACTGGGATTATAGGCGTGCACCATCCCAGCCAGCTCTAATAGGTTTTATTTGAATACCAGAGATTATACATTTTCCTTTTTTCCCTAGGCTCTTGGGCATACACACACACACACACACACACACACACACACACACATTTTGATGTTGGATTTTCTGCTGATCTGCTGATAAGTAAAATTGTAGACAAACCAAATTCTTAAATTCTTTAGAAGCTTGCCTTTATCTTTTTTGTTATCATGGATCTAGAACAGCCTTTACTCTGGGACTTCTTTAGTTTCATTAATAAAACATTATTATTCATCTTCAGACTACCCAGTCAATGCTCCATATATTACAAAGTCCACTCTGGCTGATGAAAACACAGATTATTCCAGGCCTCTGTGAGCTCTTGAAATTATTCATTTTACAACTGCTTGGTGATTCTTTCCCATGCCTTATCTCCTTTTCCGTTGTGCTCAGATTGATGCTCTAGCCAAGATCTTAGAATTTCTCTTCAGTTCTACAGAGCTCTTCCTTTGTACATTTCTACCTCCAATCTTACTCTACTCCAGTCCCCTCTGCCTCACCAGACTCTGTCTCCTCAAGTCAGCAGACTAACAAGCTGTTTAGATACTTCCTTTCACTAAGAGGGCTAGAAAACTTGCTCCAAGTAGCAGTGGGCTTGCCTCCAGTGTTTCTTCCTCTTCAGGATCAAGAGATCTAACATGCAGAAAACAAGTCTCAGAAGGAAGGTGGGTACTTTAAAAAATGATGGCTAAAACTTCCTAAAGAGTTAAAAAATATATATACAAACAAAACAAAACAACATAAGCCAAAAATCCAAGAACACCAAAAACACCAAACAAGGAAAACAAAGAAAATTACAATACGACAGTTCATAATAAAATTGCTGAAAACCAGAGGCAAAGGAAAAAAAAATTGAAAGCATCCAGAGGCAGGGAACAGCATTAGGTTAGAGGAACAAAGACTGACAGTAAAAAAAAAATTCTAAACTCACTGAATATAAGTTCCCACAATCAAGGCAGGATATAGACTTTTTCAGACTGATAAAACAAGAAAAAATTTCTTGCTGAGAGGCATGGGGGTAAAAGTAAAAATAAATTGCTTTTCAAAGAAAAAAATGTTAATAATGTGCTACTGTGAATTTTACGACACACAAAGAATAAAGAAATGGGAACAGTACATAGGCCAGTAAGGGAGAAATGGAAGAAACCTGATGCAAGGATCTCCAACTACATACCAAGGGTATAACCTGAAGGTGGAACGAGACAGGTTAATGATGTGGTGTAAACCCTACAGCTGGCACTAAGACAACCAGGGTACAGTCAATAAATCAAGGGAAGAAAAACAAAATCACAAAAAATAACTAATCCTAAACAGGAAGGAATGAAAAGGGGAAAAAAGGAACAGATAGAACAAATAGCACAAGAAAATACAGCAAGATGGCAGATTTAAAATCAACTGTACGAGTAAGTACTATATATCTAAGTAGTCAAACATCTAGACAAAGAGTATGAGCTCAGGTAAAAAGCAAGACCCACCMACATGCTATATAAAAGAAGACATTTTAAAAGATAAAACCAGAGATTAAAATTAAAACCTGGGAAAATAGCATAAAAAAGCTAAAAAGAAGTTCAAGTGGCTATATTAAGTTTAGACCAAGTAATCTTCAAAGTAACTCAAACTGTACACTTTAAATTGGCAATTTTTAGTTTATGTAGAATTATTAGAAATCATGCACTTTGCTATATTGGAAAGGTTAAATTATCTGACTACTCTAAAGTGATTTGGAAACCCCAGAAAATCATAACGAAGATCACCAGGAAGAGCCTGAGGAATTAAAGAAGGGTAAAATGTCCAATATCCCTCTAACTCAGAGGTGAAAATTCCTCCAAGGATAAGTTAACTGAAAGGAATAAAGCCTGGAAACTGGAGCCCAGTTGGCAGGGTTTTATCCCGTCTTTGAATTTTGACCTCTGATATGAGACAGGAGACGAGACCAAAACAGCAGAGGCAGGTTTCTTTGAGAAACAGGCAGAATTTCTTTAGCTGCCTGAAAGACAAAAATGTCCCATGACATTTATGATTGTCCTAACCAATCAGAAATTCTCAAAGTAGTTAACTGAGGATTTAAAGGAGTTGTATTGGCAGGAAACTTCCAGTGTGATACAAGGGGTCTGTGATAGCTCAGCTGCCAGGCAACCCTTGGATTTCACGTTCACGTGCATTGGGTTCTCAGGAATCAGAGCCTCCAGCAGAGCAATCCTCTCCAATAATCCTCAGAGATGGCCCAGGAACACAGAACACAAAGAGAACTTCCCTCAGGAGGAAGAGCCTGAGTATGCTGAAATAAGTTAACCAGCCAAGCCAATCCACTGCCAGGAAGTGCATCAATGAGGGATGCTCACATGGGTGACTCTGCTCTCCTTGTCTAGCAGGATGCTGTGCATATTTTGAATCAGTGGGAGCTGTTTTGCTTCCCTTTTTTTTGCCTTTTTTTGAGCTGGCATTTTAAACTGTGTTATTCTGGTTTTTTGTTGTTGTTTTTTGCCTCCAGTACTTTATATGTAGTAGGTACATCAGATATTTCTATATTTTTCATTTAGTTCATAGATTGGCACTCTATTCATACCTAAACTAGAGAGAATATACACAGCCAACCAATTTTATCCTTGGCAATAGAAGCTGCAGCTGGACATAGCATGCTGCAAAGTATATCTGTGGTTATAAATGGAAATTTTTACTATGATTAATGCATTGTTCAAACACAATGTATGTGCATGCTTGAACAAAGAGACGGATATCTAATCCTTTGTTTACCAACAAAATATCCCTTTTTTTGTGAGATCTGTATCTCATTCCTTCTTGAAGGAACTTTCATCTCAATACTGCAATAAAGTAGATGTTGTCAATCAAGGTATTTCATCTGCTTGGTCATACAGATCAGAATCCTGTCCTAAAGGACAGAAGGAAAATTTTCCTCAGTGTCAAAACCGAGTACATGATCTTTCATGTTGCTAATAGCCATATATCCAGCCATGTATAAAATGCCCCATTTGAAAGAATAAAGCTAACATACAAAATTGTATACACATAGAAATGGAGAGGGTGTCCTCATAATTCTTCATCTTCAGGTGTGACCTTTTTCTAAGTTAGATTGACTTGCCATCACTTGCAGCTATGGGAACTCACACAATGTTGTCAGATAAAATTAAGTAGCTTCCTAGGCTAGCGAATAAGATGTTCAGAAAATATGGTGGAGGTACTCCTAAAGAACTTGGAAACACTAAGAAACTTGCTTAATATCACATTGACTGTTAAAAACCACTCCAAGACAATGCTTCCCTTGAATGCAACCTAATAGAATCTGCTAACACCTTAAGTCAAAATGTCCAGTCACAGATTAAAAACAGAGGTACTGTGCATCCCCCTCCATGTTATTCCACATCTGTGTATGCAGAAGAGCAGGGACACCACAGAAGTAAAGTCCTCTCATTTTGAGCACATACATCAGTTTGTCTTAAACTATTCAACTATATCAAATTGTTATTTGACTTTCTGCAATTATTCTGTGTAAACATATTCCATTCCTCCCAAGCTTTAAACATTATCTACCAGATAACACCATTATCTATCAGAAGATAATCACATCTCATACTCCATGGAGAAATTGGGATGGGATTCCTTCAATTTCCCAATGCTACTCATGCCATGCTCTTCTACATCTCACCTGCTCGCCTCATCAAGGCCATCCACTCCACACATGCTTTAGATATGAAATCTCCCCCTTCTCCCTTTGTTCCTGGGACCTTACGTCATTGCTTAATCTGTGTTATAAATCATCTTTTCTTCAACCACTAGAAATGTGAACTCCATGAAGAGAGGGATCTTGTCCATCCTATTATTTTTGGTGCCCAGCATATAGCAGACAGACAGTATTATTTGTTGAAACCATGAAACATAATAAATAAGAGTCTGAGAAATAAGTCTTCTGTAAGAAGTCATCCGTTTCTTGAGTTCTAAACCATTCTGCTTAGAGAAGATCGGTGCTACAGTGGATCTCTGATTTAGGATTAGAGACTTTCTCAAGAACACTTCTCTAAATAAACATTTTATTTATTTATTTCTCTAAATAAACATGATTTTTCTTCATCCATAATTTTATTTCAAACAAATTCACTTCAAAATTTAAGCTAAAGTACATGAAACAAAACAACGAATGAAGCTTACTCTTTTTTCCATCCATATCTGCATGGATTTTCCGAGCCAAGAATCCGCTTTTGTACACAGCAGCATTTGGGTCATGAGGAATGTCCAAGAATGGGTTGGTCGTGCTCCCAATGCGACTGATGGTCTTTGGATGTGTTCCATTGGCCTTCTCATCAGTGCCTTCTGAGGGGGACTTTTTTTTCTCTTCGTCATCTCTAAGAGGGAAAAAACACATAAAGACTGAGCCAAGCAACTACCACAATATTCAAACAAACACAAAAACAGTGTAAACTCCCTTGCTTTCTAACAAGGCCCCTCTTGAAAACAAATCACCATGATAATAGCCATTTATGAAAGGGCCTCCTATGTGAGAGGATTAATGATCATGACAATCTAGTAAGATCAATATAGCATTCTGTAGTACAGATAAGAAAACAATCAGTGAGTCCAAACGTGTATACCAGGCTAAGACTCAGTAATTAAAGCAAGAGATGATGAGGGTATAACTGTAAAATTCTAAAGCCTGGGCTCTTCCCACCCACAATGATGCCTAAACCAGTGGGCGCATTTTGACAGGAATCATGATTTCAACTTTTGTATTTCTGCAGGACCTAGCACAGGTTGGCATATAGAAAACAACAAATAATTACAGACTGAGTCCACTGAGTAATATTGAACTATATTTGCCAAATAACCAGGCTAATTCTTAATATCAAAACCCCAGGTGCCTCCTGTCCGTGATTTAGATGGTGCCATGACATCTTACAGGTGCCATTGTTTCAACCACCACATAAGCGTGGGGCACCCTATCAGCCACTGAGAAAACCCCTAATTGCCTCTCTTTTCTGAATCCCTGATCCTACAAGTGCAGCAAGTTTAAACCTGAGACTATAACATATACAAAGCACAGAGGAGGCAGAGAACAATGACCTTATCGGTTAACAAAGAAGAGGGAAGTCAATGAGCTCTGATACACCCCTGGAAAACAAAACACCATTATAAAGGCATTTGCTTTTGCTCAGCTTTTTCTACTTCTAGAGTCACCTGTGGTTTCTTATTAAACTCTGCTTATATATTCTGGTTATTAGGGCTCTATCTGAAGTGTGTGGAGTAAAGATTTGTTCCCAGGATGTAGGCTCCCTGTTTATCTCTCTTATTGTTTCTTTTGCTGAGAAAAAACTTTTTAGTTTGAGTAAGTCCCATTTGTTGATTCTAGTTGTTAACTC